CAAGTACCCTGGGAGAGGGGCAGGAGGCACCTCGCCCTGTGTCACCAGCCTGTGCTCCAGTGAAGAAAGAGCCAAACAGTCCCCTCTCTTTGTAGGAAAAGGTAGCCCTTGGCTCGGGCATCACCCAGGGCAAATGTGCCAAGGTCTTATCACCAGAGAAGTGCCTGTGGGCCAGGGCCAGCTCAGCTGTTCTGCTCCAGGCCAACACCCTCCACTGACATCCCGACTGACATCCCGCAGCAGAGGGAAGGAAAAGTCCCCTCAAGCCTTGTGGTGTGATGCCACCCAGCAGCCTGGAGGAGGGGCAGAGACGTACCTGATGATGGTGTGCATGCCCCGCACCTGCGGTGTGCTCTCCAGGACACTCAGTGTCTTTGGCAGTGGCTGCCCTTGGTGGGCAGAGGCCAGGGCTGCCCTGCAGAGAGAAAGTGGGTGAGAGCCGTGCAGCACAAGCAGAGCCACCATGCTGGGCCCTCGGAGGGACATGGCCCCGCTGAAAGAAGGCTCCAGAAGACCTCTCTACACAGGCTGGTCACCAGGAAGCACACGGCCTTCCCGCCTGGATCCTGAGAAATGACCCACCTCTGGTACCAGGTAGCAGAGAGACAGACCCGGGCGAATCTCCCAGATCACACATGCCGCTGCTGCAGCCTCCACAGCACTGGCCTCAGCCAGCATGAGAAGCAGGGACTCTGCAGTGGCAGGACCATCCCACACACCCTGGGACCAGGCTGTGCCAAGGGACAAGGGCTGTCCCATCGAGAGAAGACATGAACTCCCAGGGAACAGGGAGCATGCAGGGCACTTTCTGCGGAAGTGAACAGCCCAGGATAACCCAGCACTGGGGCAGGAGCCCCACTCCAGACAGGAATAGGAGCAGGGTGGAGAGCTGGCTGCATACATCAGGCACAGTGTGAGATAGGTCATGTAGAGCCCACAGCTGTGACCACACAAGCTCCAGGGAGCTGAGAGCAGCCACTGCAGCGTGGGGAAAGAGCAGCTACACTTGGGCACCTCAGCAAAGGTCTGCCAGTGGTGATGGGGAGGCGGCAGGATTCAGGATCCAGCAGGTGCCAGCAGCCCCCACCCCAGCCCGGAACCAGCCCCTCTGTGGCGGCAGGTCCCACATACCTGACTGTGATCTCACGCTGGGTGGTGGAACGGTCATCGGCGCAGCACAGGGGGACACAAGGACACCCAGTCAGTCACTCACAGGCCAGCACAGCCACCATGGGCAGCCTGGCCAGTTCCCACCCTCTTCCCCAGTGCCCGCCTCCCAACTCTGCTGCCCTGAGAGCTGTGCTGAGGCCTTTTGAGAAGAGAGACGTGACACTGAGCCCCTCTCGGTGCTCCAGGAGCACAGGGTTGTGCACAGCCCCATCCTGCCCTCTCCATGCAGGACTCTTCTGATCCTTGCCCCAGCTCACCTTCTCCAGCTGGCTGTGTACGTGCTGCACGATGAGGTCCAGCGCCACAAAGTTTTCCCCACCTGAGAGGGGAGCAGAGCAGCCAGGTGGGACGGATGCTGACCTACCCCTGCCCCAAGACACCCCGTTCTCAACAGTGGGATCAGCTCTGGCCTCACCCCTGGGCACGACGATGTCAGCGACCTGCACGGTGGGCTCGATGTACTGCTCGAAGGCCGGCTTCACAAACTTGTTGTACTGCTTGATGACCCCCGCGACATCACGCCCGCGCTCCATGATGTCGCGCTGCAGCCGCCGCACCAGCCGGATGTCAGAGTCCGTGTCCACAAACACTTTCATGTCCAGGAGCTGGAAAACTGGGAGGGGTGAGCACGCCCTATGCAACCCTGGTCACACCTGCCTCGTTCCCCTTGGCTGCCCAGCCACGGCACCCAGCGTCACCTCCCCTGGGGCTTCTGGCACAGAGTGTTCTGCCAGCGAGAGTGGTGACCTCTCCCTCCACAGCCCCCACTGCTGCAGTGGCACCCAGGGCAAGCACCTATCCCATCTCCACAGGTCCCCTCCAGCACGGAGCCAGGCCAGTGGCTGCCTCAGGCAGCAATACCTTGAGCAGCTCCTTGTTGGCGAAGGCCAGGATCCCTTCAAACACGATGACGTTGGCCCCGTACACCGTTTTCTGCAAGCAGATAGGAGCTGTGCTCATCCTGTCCCCCTCGCACATCACAGCAGCACCAGCACAGACACTCCCTCGCACCCCTGGACTCCCACCAGTGTGGTGGGGCTCCCCATAACCATCCTGGGCCACTCAACCTCTCAGGGTCCTCGCTCACACCTGTACACCACACTCCAACCCGGCACAGACTCTGAGCCTGGCTCCAGACCCCAAACCTCTGCCCAACGCCTTCCCCCCAGGCCTCATCCTTCCTCCACACTGAGCCTCTCCTTAAACTCTGTGCTAGCCTGTTCTGAGATCCATGCCCATGCTCCTGCAGTCTCTACACCTCCAGTATGAGCCTGGAACGAGCCCCCCGCACCTGATGATCCCCAGCCCCCTCCCTCCCTTAACTCTCGCAGCTCCCAGAGGTGCTCCCCTTCCTGGGGCTCTGACCCCCAGGCCCAGCCTGGCCCTAAGACACCCACCCACTCACGGCGCCGGCTGTGCGTGGTGAAGTCATACACTGGCACCTTCACGCTCTTTCCCTTCTTCAGCTTGCGCAGGACGCTGATGAGCAGCTCGAAGTCGAAGGCATCGGGGTGGTCAAAGTTGTAGTCGCTCCGGGCTGCCAGCGCCTGCTGCCCCTCATCCAGCACCTGCAGGCATCAGCACCACTCAGTGCCACGCTGGATCCCCGAGCACTGTGCGACCCCCAGGCACCGGCGCCGCTCAGCGCCGCGCCGGACCCCCGGAACCAGAACTGCCCACGGCCGCACTGGACCCCCGAGCACCACTCTCAGCACCACGCTGTACCCCTGAGCCCCAGCACCGCTCAGCGCCAGACTCCCCACCCTCACCTTGTAGAAGGAGTCCATGGAGAGAAGCACGACCCAGGGCACGTCCAGCGCCTCGATGATCCGAGTCGCCACCGTGGTCTTGCCCGAGGCGCTGCCGCCGCACAGGCCTGCGGAGAACGGGGGGGGCACCGCCCCGGCCCCGGATCCGTCACGGCCCCGGATCCGGCTCCAGCTCTGTCCCCGTCCCAGCCCCTCCCCGGCCGTGCCTCGGGGCCCAGCTCCAGAATTTCCGACTGCAGCTCGATCCCCTCCCCGGCCCCGGCTCTATCCCCTCCCCATCCCCGTCCCGCCGCTCACCGATGACAAAGGCCTCGTCCACGGGCGCGCCGGTCTCGCTGTACCAGGGCGGCCGCCCGGCCGTGTAGATGGTCCGTTTGCTGGTGCGCAGCAGCGGCGGTTCCGGCTTGCACTGGCTGGCGGTGCGGCGCCGCGGGGCCGGGGCGGGCGCCAGCGGCAGCCGGCTGAGCAGCGAGCCCAGCGGGCCGGGGCTGCGCTCGGGCCCCGCCACCCCGCGCGGGCCCCGCCGCTCCTCCGCTCCCGCCGCCGCCATCGCCGCGCGGGGCCGTGGGGGCTGCCGGGACGGGCCGCGCTGCACACGGCCCCGCGACCAGGCCCCGCCTCTGGCCCCGCCCAGGTACAGACCACGCCCTCGCCCCGCCCCGCCCCGGCCACCCGC